AACTTCCTCCTCTCTAGAATGTGGCAAATGGATTTTGCTTTAGAACGGATGCAGGAGTAAGAGGCTAGAATCCTAAAACCTTTACCAATACAAGTGTCTGCAAGGCTGGATAGCATGAAGGGCAAGTGAAAATGTTCTATTTTTTTCCCTTGATTTGAATGAACTGACCCTTTGTCTGTCTAGCTCGTGTCAGCGCCTTGCTCTTGGAGTTAAACTCCACCGACACGAGGCAGGACGTGTGTGTGTGTACATGTGAGCCTGCAGGTATCAGTAGCAAACATGTGCCAGCCAAACACAACATTAGGCCATTAGGGAAATATTGCCCTTTCGTTCAATCCAAATGTCACACGATACGGGACAGGACAGTCATGACTATCTGGTCTCAGTCACAGATGCTTCCATCTGGGGAAAAGCACTGGATCCTGTGTGTTTGTGTTTTTAAGGAGAACAGGTGCATTTTGTTTGTGACCCTATGAAGAGAGCGGAAGCGCAGCACATGACAAGGCACTTTCTTCTTGTTTTTTTCTTTCCTGTGTAAAACCAGCTTGAACAACCATCTGCCTTATTAACTGCCTTATGTTTGTGTGTGTGTGTGTGTGTGTGTTTTTATAGGGGACACGCTAAATAATCTGCCATCCATTGTCAATCATTTCTTCTGTTCAGGTGAATTGTAGCTCAAACAAAACATGATTTGCATGCAATTAAAAAACAACAACAAAACAATTAAAATATGAAAACCCGTAGCTCCAGGGATAAAACAACTGCCAGCCAGGCATCATCGTACCAAAATAACTGTTTTCACAACACTTAATAAAATGTAAGTGCAGAAGAGGAGGAACAGTAGATAACATTTAATGGGCTCAGGATGTTCTTGTACATTCAAACAATCAGCCTTAAAAGCATGAAAAATCCCCAAAGAACTTTTTTTTTTAAACAATTATAAAACAAACCCTTTCTAAAACTTTCTAAGGAATTTAATTCTTTTTTAATACGAAGTAGCTCTTCATGTGATATAACTGACTGTTAATAGAGTTTAATAAAGTTTGATCTAGATTGTCTAAATTACAAAATGTAAACAAAACATGAGAGCAGGTTTCCAGAAAAAAATTGCCAAAATTGTATATCAGCAATGTTAGCATGCTGCAAAATGGGTCAAAGGATGAGAAACTATCCTATATATATAAATAATCATATGACCATGGACTTAATAGTGTGTCTCTGAGTGTTTTCATGAAGTGTTTCCCTCCTTCTTTCTAAGTACAGTTTATTCAAGCCTGAAATTAAGCAACCTCCAGCAGTTGAATGAATAAGAGCACGTAAAATCTCCATTGGTGTCAGTTTTAGATTGGACTTAAACCAAACTTCCCACACAGGACATGAAGCCCAGCCTCTTGGGTTGCAAGTCCTGTGCCTAATGCCTCCTCATGTGGACTTCGGTCGCTGTTTCAAACAGCGATAATGCCACGGCATTAAATTGTGTCCATTGTAGCGGGTTTGATTACAGCTTTACACCTGCGGTTAACCGGTCACCGAGCCGTGTCAGAATTCTTTGAGAAAAACTTCAAACATGTATAAAAATGTGCTAATGCTGCAAATAGATCCTGGCTTAGACAAAGTTATATATTCACTAAAGTATTTCTCAGCCTTATGTTATTTAGATTTTTATTTTATTATTTTTTGATTATAAAATGTTATTTTATGAAATTCATTTGTATAGCATCCTTCAAAAAACAAAGTTACAAAGTGCTTAACGGTTGAACAAATGTCAAATTAGACAAATAATGAAGACAAACTGATCGAATACACAACATTAATAAGACAAAATGGACAAGTCAAGACAGCATTTTTATATAGCACATCTCAGTCAACAGTTGCTGAACCAAAATGCCTTTGAGTGAAAGACAGACTAAAAATTGTAGGTAAGACGCTGATTTAAATCTCATTGAGCAATTTTAGAGACTAAAACCTATATAATTGTATAAAATGCTACTTGACCATCATGCATATTGAGGCCCTACACACTTGCTAATTATATGAAGGCACGGATCCTTACTGGGGTTCAGCTTTAGTCAGAATATTCTCACACTTAGACTTTGTGGGTGCAAACACTGAATGCATTTCCACATAGAACACTTTTGCAAAGCCAATTGTTAGATTGTTTATTGTGCTTTGCTTCCGTGCATGTTCGCAGACTCCTACCTCCACATTGACTTTGTTGTCACGTCGATAGAGTTTCTGAATCCATCAGCTGTTGATCAGCAGTGACACTCTTCACAACACAAAGATTCATTCATGCAAACATAGCTCTGTACCGCCACAGGTGGTCAAACGCTCCACATGCTACCTTTAAGCGTGTTTAAGGATTGAGTCACAGATTGATGGCATTTGTTGAAAAATGTCGAGTTTTCATCACTACGCTCCAGTCGTTTATGAAATCCCACTCTGATACACGTGAAAACACCAACTCTCTGATCCATTTATTTTTTTAATTCCTTCACGTCTTGTCACCATCTCATCACTTTCTCTGTGAGTGTGGCTTGTAGCAACTAGTATCAATTAAGCTACAAATTTCCATTTGATACAATCACCTGTGCTGCTGCCAAGAGTGTTACTCCACATGCTTCTCTGCAGACATCTTGGAAGTGTCAGTATATCTTTCTCAAAGACCAGGCTCTCTTTTCCATGAGTCTGAGGCACAGATTATGCAACCTCATCCTACACTGTTCTTTAAACTGCCTTCGGGGAATGCTAACACTACTGTCAGACTGACTATATCACTCTACTCACAACAGCCAAGCCTGCTCTTTTACAGCTCCAGTTTTGATAGCTAAAAGCAGAGATGGCAAGTGCAACTACTCTAATTTTTGTGTTTTTTTAAGTAATGTCACCGCTGAGAGTACTTGCATTCGT